TTGATTTTGTTTCTTGTCTAATGGTAAGCAATTTGCATGGGACCAAGTCTCGTTTGTGTTTCGCCACTTTTGGGATTTTCTTCACCTTCTTGTACAATGTAACTGTCAGTTATGTAAGTATTGTTTAGTTTTTTATGTTAGGTAAGTATTGTTTAGTTATTTAAAGTAAAGTTGCTAAATTAAGTGTTCATTTTTACTGGTACAGTAGTTGCACAGTACACTTTGGCTAATGAATTATTCTTTAAAATTTAATTATTTTTATTAATATAATTCATTTAGTTGCTGAAAGATCTGAAGTTTTGTGGAGCAATGTAGACATAGACCTGTTCGGAAAATTATTAATGTCGTCGTATTATACATCCAGTATATATCCAACAACTAATATTATAGTGAGACACTCTTATTGTATAAAGAATAATTCATGTTGGCGCTGGTGAACTACCTGTGAAAGCAATTATAGTAATATAGGTATAGTTTCCTAACCTGGTCTTTTCAGACAGCACCAAGCGGCGCACTAGGTAGTGCATGAGCAGGCCAGTCACATTGGCATAAACTGATGGCGCGCAGTGTGGGGGAATGGTGCGCAATGAGGTCACACATAACAAAACTTGGCAAGTTTGGGCAATTTGAGGCGACATAATTTATTCGTTATAAATATAATTATACTAGTATACTTCAACTGTGGTTGAAGGTAATGGCGTTGGTTTGTCACTAGGTAACTCGACTACATAAGCCGAATTAACAACATTTATATTCAAAGCGAATGATCGCTGGTTATTAGAATAATATATGATACCTGGCAAATCGTTTTCCGATAAGTTTGGGAAGCAGCTTACGTTGTATTCCTAGAGAAAAAATGTTCTTAATTTAATTTAATTTAATTTAAGTTATATTTTTTCAAAAGTAAATCACAGCATACTTGTACGACAGTGGTGATGAATTTCGCACAAGCAACAAATTAATAGGTAAAATATGCGGAGACTTTGCCAAATTTAGAAGCTCAAAATCGATTATAAGGAGAAAAGTTTACAGGATATTTCAAGCGCTTAAATCATGCACATTTGACGACAGGATACGATTACCAAGTTGACGCGCTCCCAATCGTTAAATTCAGGAAAGACTACTGCCTGTTACTATCTTTAACACAACTATCTTACAGCAACCAAACCTCTCGATCTGCCAAAACATGCACTATGATGAATATACTTTCTTATTTGACTTTGCATGGACAAGCCATAGCATATACAGTTTGTCCATAACGTTGGACAAACCATTGCATGCTTCTTTGAAAGTCGCCCATGACCATAGCCGTTCATATACAATAGGGCAGATTCTATTAAAGCGTCGTGGAGAGTGAACATCAATATTGGACATCGAAATCCTTTTGCTTGGCTATATCTTAGTCCTAAAATTTCGTCTTTATAAGTAAAAATTATTCTTGCCAAGTTCAGGTTTTGCCTGATGCTTTAAAGACGTTTTGTTAGCATTTTGACCATGTTTGAGAGGCGATTTTGTTTTGCCATAACTCTCTATTCAGAGTGTGATTTGTGCAGAAATCGCACTAATAAGAGCCGACGAGGTTGCAAGAAACACCACTGATTTCAAAATGGATATAATAAAAGAATTCATTCGTCAATTCTTATACCTTTTGCGGGGTCTCCAGATAAACATGATCATACGAGGAGATTTTTTCCAGTAAATTCCCAGATGTATTATCGGCCATGTTATGTAACATTTCACAATTCGGTTCATTCTGGAAGCTCGTCATCGTTTTGTAGTTGATTGATCTACAACATGACTCAAAGCTACATTCCATTACGCATTCTATCTGTTGGTGAACGACCTTCTCCATCAGAACAGTTGTATTTAATCTGAAACCTAGACATTATGGCCAAAATGAGTAATAAGATTACTAAATTATCGGGCACATTTCTAGAACGATTTCTATTATTGAGAACGTAAAGGAATCTCTTGACATTTCATTTAGGTTTCGTTTTCTAAGGGCCAATCATGGTTCATAATGCGCAAAAAGTCGAAAAACGGTTGAATCTATCAAGGTTTGAAAACGTTCGAATGAGACTCAAACGTGTCCGCTGAAGAAAGCTGGGACCGGTTGGGTGTCGTCGGTGGTAGCAAGAACATTTTAGCACTAGGGATGGGTACAAAGTAGAGGCTGTTTCGCAGGCATAGCTTTCCGTTGGAGTGTGCTTCGTTGAAAAAAGTGTTCACTGAAAACTTCCAAACAGTCGCCCAGCCAGGTTGAAGGGGCAACTGCCGAAACCGCGGAAACCACTTTCTCCAAAAGTCTAAATCCGTAGAGAAATTGGCAGGGGAGATACACGTTACATTATCGAAGTTTAAACTGAGGATGATTTAAACTGGAGGACCTTGATGTGTAAAATCTCGTAAAGTATTTGTATATATGGTTTCAAGAACAATGGATTAAGTTAAAATTTTCAACTGTTAAATGGCATAGAACCAAGGATTACCTCAATGCGACATTTCGAACCAAATCCCACTGGGATTTCTTGCCCCCAGCATCATTCACAGAGGGGAAATAAGGTGACACGGGCCCGTCCTCCAATTTTCGAAGGTGACTTTTACATGTAATTAGTTTAGTTCCGAGGAGAAATACTGTAGCTGCTAAGAAATCATGCCTTTCATGACTTTAAATGTCCTCGCCGTTAATATATATATATATATTGAGATATTTAATATAACGACACGCATAAGAACACAAGGTTTGTGGGGTTATGGAAGTGTGGGACAACTGCTCTATATACTGTATTTTTATCTGCGAAGAGCTGGGTGCTGAGCGGTTCCCAGGGCATATACTCGTATTGAAAAGCTGGATCTTGGGGAAAGTCGATTAGGACATATACTGATTTGCAGCTGGGTCCTAATCTGCCCAAGACATATACTTTTACGGGTTTAGAGCTGGGTCCTGAGTCGGCTAGAACATATACTCCATTTAGAGCTGGATCCTAGCCTGCCCTGCAAGACATATACTCTGAGCTGGGCCCTGGGAAAAAATGATCAGGGAAATATTTTTTAGAACACTGATCTGGCTCAGCACATATACTCATATGCAGAAATAGAGTGATTTTTGTAAATGGGAATTGGCTGTATGCCAGGTTGCCAAATTCCGTAAAGAAAACGTGAGGTCTATGGTAAAATTGCGACCTCATACTAGAGCAATTGCCTCAAACACTTCATTCTTTATTTATTATTTTATTAAATACATAATAACATTGATATAACAGTCTAGTGAATGTCGATAAGCGTTTAATATCCAACGAAGATAATATTTATATATAGATCTAAATATAGTTCAATGTTCCCGAGAATTCAATATGACTCCCTAGGCGGGCCCATAACATACCGTAATTACTTCCAAGTACCATCTTGTACCATCTCGTTACATCAGGGAAGAGGCTGGAGCATGGGGTGGTTGGTGGGTGACTCTTTAAATCAGTCTTTACAGCTCGCAATCCAAGTAAGAATGATAGAGGCAGATAAAGCTAACTCGGATATCTGCCCATGTTTAACTATAGTTTCATTGTTATAGTTATGAATAGGTCAAACATAGTGGTTTGGACAATAATTAATAAACGATACTAGGTGCAGTAGCCTACGGGTTTGGCAAGCAAATAATGAAAGTCTGTGATAGAGTCTTCCTTTGTTTAGACAATAGTAGCTTTCGAGTTGGCTTAACATAGACATTTTAAATCTATAATTTTTAGGTCTAGCGCATTGAGTATTGTCCATTAACAATAATTTGTACTCGTAAAAATTACCATTTAATGTCCTCACCGTTTAATAAATATATATATATTGAGATATTTAATATAACGACACGCATAAGAACACAAGGTTTGTGGGGTTATGGAAGTGTGGGACAACTGCTCTCTATATTGTATTTTTTATCTGCGAAGAGCTGGGTGCTGAGCGGTTCCCAGGGCATATACTCGTATTGAAAAGCTGGATCTTGGGGAAAGTCGATTAGGACATATACTGATTTGCAGCTGGGTCCTAATCTGCCCAAGACATATACTTTTGCGGATTTAGAGCTGGGTCCTGAGTCGGCTAGAACATATACTCCATTTAGAGCTGGATCCTAGCCTGCCCTGCAAGACATATACTCTGAGCTGGGCCCTGGGAAAAAATGATCAGGAAAATATTTCTTAGAACACTGATCTGGCTCAGCACATATACTCATATGCAGAAATAGAGTGATTTTTGTAAATGGGAATTGGCTGTATGCCAGGTTGCCAAATTCCGTAAAGAAAACGTGAGGTCTATGGTAAAATTGCGACCTCATACTAGAGCAATTGCCTCCACAATCACACAACGATAGTGTGTGTGTGTGATCCCCATAGACCGACAAACAACGATCGAGTGTTTATCTCACTCTGCAATCAATCGTTTTGAAACGTCTGTAAGGACATTGATTGGCGTGCGAATATATCTGAGGTAACAATCGGAAGACCATCTTCCTAGCGTTTGAATAAGCCAATGAGGCAAACCTTGGGACGCAGCTGTGGTAGCTGCTCCGATTCTAAAGCTGTGGCCTCCATAATGAGCAGGGTGATGACAACCTTGGGCCAAAAGTGTTTGTAGTTCCTTAGTAAATTGACTATGTGATAAAGGAACACCGTTTGAGTAGCAAAACAATGGTCCCGCATAGTCTGTTGGCGCACGTGAAAGGTAGGTTTGAAGGGCCCTTACTGGACAATACATACCAGAATTGCTGCCAATGGTTATCGTGGCTGAGGCTCGAAATGGATCAGTTTTTGACGCTTTAATTCGTAGTTGCAGAAAAACCTTGTTATCCTCACGTGTTTTGTTATGAAAACTTACATCTGATCGGCAAAGGTTTGTTGAAGAATTATAAGGGCCGGAGCAAGTAATTTCACCAATCTGCAAAAACCCAAAAAATGCTATGGAAATCACTGCCCAAATCATGGTTTCATCATGTGTTGGTGATGTCTGTGAGTGTAAGATGCGGTGAAACAATTTCAAATGGTCTAATGTAATTGGTAGGCGTGTTATAGACACTCCTTTTACTCACTTTATACCTCACAAAATATAGTGTAGGCATTGAAATTTGGTGATTTGAAGGTCATAGCTGTTAACCAAATGCATATGGCGTACTGCTGCAAGATAGACTTTGATGGTGCCTGGATTTACCATCTTAGTGAGAAAAACAGCAAAGTAAATCCGAATGTTTTCCGTTGTTGGCAGACGAGGCACATGCTCATGTAAATGAAATTGATAGTAGAAATTTGTTAACTGTTTTTTGCCACTGCTATAAGTTTTAATCGTACCTTGAGCTAACAAAGCAAGTTGATAACGACGTAAGTCAGCGTCTAGAGATGAGAAAGTTCCTCTGGTAGAGGTTGATGGTCTGCATGCGGTGCTAGCTGCCGAAATCTGGTTTGCTGAAAATGGGAGATAGAATCAGCAATGTCATTATAATGACCTGTCACATGTAAGGCTTTGAAATAAAAGTTATACTTCAGTGTTTGTAAGGTTAAAGCAAGCACTAAGTCCATAATACGAGGGCTTTTTGAACGTTTGGAATTGATTATGGAAACCACTGCCTCGTTATCGCAGTAAAACACAATTCGTTTTTGAGCCCATAAAGGTGCCCATATGTAGGAAGCTACCACCATAGCACAGAGCTCTTGCCAATCAATGCTGATATTTTTTGTGGTAAGTGTTTGGTGAGGCAACCATTTACGCTGAAACCACTGGGTGTGAAAAATTCCCCCAAAACCAAGGGTCCCGGAGGCATCCGTATAGAGAGAAAGGTTTGTAGAATTTCCCCAGAAAGAGTTGAGAAATAAACTTGTCCTATTCCTATCTTTAAGAAAAAGTTGCCACATTTTTACATCTTCGCGAAAACCATTCGTCAAGCAAATGTGATGATGTGGTTTAGAGACACCCCGTGTTAGATTTATGATACGTTGCAGAAAAGCTCGAACCAGGGCAATTACTTTGCATGCAAAATTTAATGTGCCAATTAGTGATTGGAGCTCTTGGAGTGTAGCTGACTTTTTTGTGTGCCACAAATTTAAATCAACAAATAGACGGTTCAATTTATTGGTTGGAAGACGAGCCTCCATCTTTTGTGAGTCAATGATAATGCCTAGAAATTCTATAATGAGATTGGGTCCTTCAGTTTTATGTTCTGCAATAGGAACACCTAACGTGCAGAATGTTAACAACATGATAGAAAGGCTAGTTTGGCATGCTTGAGAAGGCAGCCCAGTTTGGGCTGGTGGTTCCATGATGAGAAAATCGTCTAGAATGTGCCCAACATAGCTTATAAAACACTTGTTGAGTAAAATCCACTCAAGTGCATCCGAAAGTTGATTGAAAATATATACGGCACACTACGCAGACCAAAATAATAGGACTTGTTCCAATATATGCCTAATAACTCCCAGTCGTCAGGATGAACAGGAAATTGACGAAAAGCAGATTCTATGTCAGTTTTAGCTAGATAAGTGCCTCTGCCTAATCGGATTAAAGCCGCAATTGCGTCGTTGATTTTTATGGACTGCAATGAAAAGTCGTCTTTCTTGATAAAGGAATTGATTGATTCTCCCGTTTTTGGAAACGAGAGGTGAAAAATGGTTCGAAATTTATCTGAATGCTTTTTAGGTACAATGCCAATCGGCGAAACCTGTAAATTAGCAAATGGGGGATTGGTCAAAGGACCAGCTGTGTGGCCAAGAGCAACTTCCTTAGCTAAGTTAGTTGAAACAATAGTTGGATTGTCAATGGCAGACTTGAGGTTTTTCGAAAATTTGGACATGCGAGGACCATCGTAACCGAGACGAGCACCGAAACGCAAGTCTGAACAGAGTTTCAAAACGAATGATGAATTGGAATGCCCACAAAGAGCACCTTCAAGCGCGTCAACGCGAATTGGCGTAACTATAGTATTATCTAAAGGTATTGAATTACTGCTATTATATATACTACACTTTAAACTAACAGTTCTATTTTCTGTTGGTCTTCGCGGAGCTACGGGCGGATTGTGAAGGGTGGTCGTCGTTATGATCGTTTTCCCCACGGGATTGTGGACATTGGTACCCAGGATGGTTCCCCCCACAGCCAATTCGGTTACATCGGTGAGTGTAAGGGCAATTGGGTCGTAATGGGCAAGGTCTACCCCTGTTGTAGCTGTGGCAAATTCCGTCCCTCGCTGCCCCAGCTTTGTTTGAGGGTCCGTTAGAAAAAAGGGAATAATCTTCCCGCAACTGAGTAGAGCTAGCGGTGAAAATACGCAACCATAACTGCATGTCAATGTTGGCCCACGACAATGTTCGACACGCGGCGGCTTTATAGCGAAATTTATGATCATATATGCACCAGCCTAAACCGCCATGCGTTTTTGCCGCATGACAGATGGTTTCCATGTACTGTAAAAGTTCTGATGCACGATTTGGAAATTTTTGTACTATGATTAACATATACGTGTTGAAAGCGGTTGTCCACTCTTCAATGTTAGTCAGCACTTGAGGCTTGCGCGGTGTTAATGAGATTCCCGTAGAGGAAATTGTGAAACCCACGTTGTCAGAAGAATCGGAACCAACATTTAACTTATTTAATTTTTTTTTTTTTTCAATAATTTAGCAAGCTCAAAAAACTCACCACTTTCGATGTCACGAACGTATTTGTTTGGAATCTCTGGCGTGAATCCCCCATCTGCTTACTGAATTGAGGCAACAGGTCCATGGGATGAAGTCGGCTGCTGCTGGAGCTCGCTGGAACTTAAAAATGGAAATTGACCAAGCTGTTCTAGCCTTTCGAGTGGCGTTGGCGGTGGCTGGATAGTTGGCTGCTCATCTACACGAGTCGCGGTTGTTGTGGCGTGTTGGCTTTCGAAGAAAGACGAAATCGACTGCGAAACAATTTGCGTGATCTGTGCCAGTTGGTCGGCGCTGAAGCTTTCCCTTCCGTTGGAATTAGATAACGTGTTGTTTACTGGAACGGTTTGAATGTTGGATTGCGGCGTATTCGTGTTTAGACGTTCTCTTTCGTTTTGTAGACGCGTTGTAAGTACCCGTCGGCCGCCAGCGCAGGAAAAGTTGAGTTCGCGGCAAAGGTTCTTCAACTCTAAAATTGATAACTCGCCCAAATTGCTCGGTACTTCGACGGACGGTTGAATACTGGATGGTCGTTGATCCTGCTGACGAACTCGTGATCGTGGTTTGCTAACTCTTGGCATTATTTTTGGTGGACATTTAGAAATGATAAACGTGAAACGATTAATTTTTTAAATGACTCTTTAAATCAGTCTTTACAGCTCGCAATCCAAGTAAGAATGATAGAGGCAGATAAAGCTAACTCGGATATCTGCCCATGTTTAACTATAGTTTCATTGTTATAGTTATGAATAGGTCAAACATAGTGGTTTGGACAATAATTAATAAACGATACTGGGTGCAGTAGCCTACGGGTTTGGCAAGCAAATAATGAAAGTCTGTGATAGAGTCTTCCTTTGTTTAGACAATAGTAGCTTTCGAGTTGGCTTAACATAGACATTTTAAATCTATAATTTTTAGGTCTAGCGCATTGAGTATCGTCCATTAACAATAATTTGTACTCGTAAAAATTACCATTTACACTAAACACGAAATTGCGTGGGAAACTCTAAAGTAATTACCACAAACAATCGCTATGGTCAAAGACTTTGCCTAGAAGCGTGGCATATAAATATAAGTCATTATGCTTTGAATAGGGATGACGGTGCCTATTTCCCATAGGATTATATGCATCTTATTGGCAGGTGACATCATCCCTTGGGTATTTAAAAAGCCACGATCGCAGTTTTAGATCACCCCTGATGAAGACACTAGACTGGAGTGTCGAAATGTTGGGTCTTGATTACAATTCGACTGGGCTTTGTAATCATTTATTTAAACCAGAGTAGCGAGCGAAACATGATATATTGTATAGGTCAATATCAAATTATATAGACACCAGACAAAAGTAGCCTATAACTAATTTAATCACGTTCCTATAGTTCCCGTTATTGAAATCGTTGTGGACAATGGGACAACTCCATTCCACTGAGGAAAGAATAAATTTCAATATGTTTCTATAAATGTGTGTAGAAACTAAGCTAGGAAAGAAACTCAGAAGAAAATGCAAATTTTGGCTAAGTTTTGCATCACTACGGAAGATTAAATGTCGATACGAAGGCGCAGAATAAACATCAGTAACAGTAAGGCCACTCATCGGTGCACACATCCTTTTTTTTATGCAAAAATATGCAGTTTACTGGCCAGAAGACGGGGCAGCCAGCCATGCAGTACAGCGAGTTTATTGGCCAGAAAATGTCATTGACTGGAAAATGGCGGCCGACATGAGCAATGCGAAATAAGTGGCCCTTCTGTATGGATCTTTATTCTGGGACGAAGGTTGATATGCATTGTTTCGCCGGCTATTCAGATCGCAAATGGAATTTATTAGTGTTTTGCATTCACTCTGTAAACGAAAGTGTATCAAGCGAAAACCAAGTTTAACTTTGGGATGATCTCTGCAGTAGTGTAGCTTTTTATTTAAATGTTTATCACTTCTAATACTTCCTTGATTCTTGTCTGCTGAATAATTTCAAAGACATAGCGAATTCTTCCGGCAAAGAAATCATGAAGAAAACGGAAAAAGAAGATCGTTGAGCAAATTACAATTCCACTAAAATTCTGGCAATTCCACTAAAATTCCAAATCTTACTTCTTGGAAATGATTTGTGCAAATCCGGCTTCACGTTCTTTGATCATAGCAAATTTTAATAGAGTAAGAAGAGGTCCCTCGTCCGATCGTGGTCCGAATTACAATTCCACATTCTCAGGTTAACTTCTGGCTGAGACCAGGTCACATTCCAAATTTTATTCCCTGGAGAAGATTTGTGCAAATCCGGCTTCGTGATGTTTGGTTATACAGCACTAACAGAGTAGGAAGATACCATTTTATCTTTCCACGACACCAACTCGAAACACAACTCTCCCCCCCCAAAAAAAAAAAAAAGCTCTGTCATTACCTTGAAAGGAGAATTGCTGGAAATAGTGATTCTAGAATTTTGCCATGATATTCCTTGGTTTCCAATCTTCTCCCAAACTTTTCTTCTTTTATTCTGCGACTGCAGCTTGTTTATGTCTTGTATATAAGCTGTCAACTTTCCCATTGTATCTCCGTACATCGAGAAGTAGAACGACATACATGTTGCCCGAGTTGGACCAAAGATCTTGCTTTCCACAATGCCTTGTTTTCCAGGTCTGACAGGCCATGAACTTTCAAAGTAGATATAGTGACCTAGAGAAAACACATTACGCATTTCAGATCTTACTAAAGATGTTTTAGGTCATAACCTGATGATTGACTTACAGATATACGCCTAAATATCAGGGTGAGAAGAATGAAATTGAACGACATATTAATTTTGCCATAGCTTCTAAGCAAACAAAATAGATCAACTACTCCTTGGGGATGTGATTGCTACCGAGTTGCTAGTACATGTATATCGTATAATTGTATTTTTTTAATTAAAAATATTTTTGAATAATCCATACAGTCATTAGTCAAAACTTTAATTTTTAATACCAATTAAAAGGCACCAGAGTAATCACATTTTAATAATTGGGTGGACAACATTGCGTGGACAAACAAGGTGCGGTTGACAGAAGACAATTGGAATTGGGGAACAGATCAGGGCTGTCAGAACCACGAGTTCAACAGCTGCAAGTGCACCATTTACCTATTGTAATCGCAACTTTTTGGGTGCAATGCTGTGCAGACGACGATGCATGCAACGAAGTCCCCAACCGCAATGCAATCAAAAGGTTGTGATTACGAAAGGCAAAATGCGCAGCTTGAGCCGCTGCACGCGTGGCTCCAGGTGCCCTGAAACAAGCAGTGTCAAAGGAACATGACCCGTACTAATGTACTATATCCACGATGTATTAATTAAGCCGTGTTAAGGCTGCAATTCTTGTCATATTTAAAGCTAAAAATATTAAGTCAATCTTCAAAAAACCATGGCTTTCTAAAGGTCTCTTAAAATTAATTAGACAATAAAATCGATTGTATAAGCGGTATTTAAATTTCCCAAATGTTAATAATAAAACATGGAACATACTGAACGAGATTATTAATAAGCGAAATCAGACACGACGTCTTCCATCAACATTTGTTACTGATAATCACGAATGTTCTGATCCATTATTAATAGCTGATCAGTTTTGTAAATATTTTTCCAATCTTGGTCCTAACTTGGCTAGAAAAATACAAAAGGTCCCTATATCTCCTAATTCATTTCTTTCTGGGAATTATGTAAACACCATGTTTTTTGAACCCTCAACTGAGCAAGAGATTATGGAAATTGTATACCCTTTTAGGAATGGAGTTGCAGCTGGCTATGATAATTTATCAGTGTCTGCTATTAAAGAATCGATCGAATTGATTGCCAGCCCACTCACTCATATTGTCAACTTGTCAATTTCATCTGGTATATTTCCCGATCCATTAAAAATTGCGCGAGTTGTTCCAATATTTAGATCAGATGATCATAGAACGTTTGTAAATTATAGACCAATCTCAGTCTTACCAATATTTTCTACAATCTTCGAAAGAGTAAGTTATAATCGTTTACTAAGTTATGTAAATAAGTTTCATATTCTCAATGATAATCAATTTGGTTTTAGAAAAGATCACTCATTGCAGTTATATGATAAAATTTCATCAGCAATTGATCAAAATAAGTTCACAATTGGTATTTTTCTTGATCTATCTAAAGCATTTGATACTGTAAACCATTATATTTTATTTGAAAAATTCAACATTATGGAATTTGTGGTAAAGCTCTTGATTGGTTTAAAAGTTATTTCAGTAATAGACTCCAATTTGTTCAGTATAACGGGGTGTACTCTCAAAAAATGACTATCAAGTGTGGAGTACCGCAAGGCTCAATATTAGGTCCATTACTTTTTTATTGTATATTAATGATATTTGTAATGTTTCAACTATATTTCATGTGATTTTATTTGCTGTTGATACAAACGTATTTTATTCGAACCAAAATTTGCCTGATTTGATAAATCAGCTTAATTCTGAGTTGAATAAATTATTTGATTGGTTTTCAGTTAACAAATTGTCAATTAATTTTAAGAAGACTAAATATATGATTTTTAAACAAAAACAAAAACAGTGCATTACTGATTTGAAAATATCGCTAAATTATATAGAAATTGATTTAGTCACGGAAGTAAGTTTTCTGGGATTAATTTTAGACGAACATCTAACATGGAAGGCACATATATCATGTAGCTAGGAAAATGTCTAAATCGATTGGTATAGTCAAAAAAGCAAGTTTTTGTCTTTCTAATTCATCATTAATTACGTTATATTATTCTCTTGTTTACCCATATATGCAATATTGTATTTTAGTTTGGGGATCAACGTGCCGATTGAATTTATATCGTGTTGTGTTGTGTTGTGTTGCTGCAGAAACATATTATCGGAATTGTAGACAAATCGGCATATGATGCACACACTGAACCTATATTTAGGAAACTAAAAAATTTTCCATTTGTTAGGATATATTCATTTCATTTCGGTAAGTTTATGTACTTATATTTTAAAGAGATGTTGCCTGCCAGCTTTAATCATTTCTTTCTTTGCGTTAAACAAGTTCATAATTATAATACACGTAACTCAAATTTGTTTCATGTTCCATTCTGCCGAACGCAAATTAGACAGTTTTCTGTTATTTATCAAGGTGTAAAACTCTTTAATTCGCTTCCCCGAGATATTTATGGTGCTTCATGTATCTCTTGTTTTAGAGAAAGTTTAAAAGAATATCTATTTACTCTTTAGTATTATTTTATCGTGAATATAGATGTGTTCGTTTGTATGTATATGTATATCTGTGTATGTTAAACACGAAATATTATGAACAGGGATATTCTATTTAGTGCAAATTCTAGAGAAAAGTGAGCTGTTTCCGTAATATTATCAAGGTGATTTGTGTCTGTTACTTTTGTGTATTTGAAACTTATTGATATCTGTCTTTTTCACGAATAAATTATTTATTTTCAGAGCGGTAGTGTTAATTTCATATTTTAAATGAGCTTCGGTCTTATCAGAATGTAAAAGGTAGTCCAAACTCTATAAGCCTTTTGGTTTCTTTTGGGCTTCCTTGATTTTTATAGTTCCTTAATTGTATATTTTCTATACTGTTATTTTTTGTGGCAAAAATATATTTGATTTGATTTTGATTTGAAGCAACACCAAGGTAAGAGTGATGTCTTAACACTCTTTACATTTCAGTGTCTAAGTCAAGCCGTCTACAACTTCATTCCCAGATTTAAAAGAGTTACGAAATAAAACTTTTTCCCAAAAAGAATTAAAAGGATTCACTGTTGTTGATTGGATTTCTCATTGTATCATTTTGTAAACCTGAAGATGGAGTTGCACTCCAAAACATTGTAATTAGGGAAAGTACATTTACTATGCCGAGGGGGGGGATGAAGATGTTAAGGGGGGGCTCCGAAATATTTTCTGGCATTAAAGGGGGGGCTCTGAAAGTTCTTGATATACTGAAGGGGGGGCTCTAAACTTTTCAAAGGTTTGACTCCAGTAAATTAAAGTTAAAATTTTTACATTTTCAGGTAAAATTTGCGTAATAAAGTAATTATTTTTGTGAAATGATAACCATTTTTGTAAAATACAGTCAATTTACATGTAATTTGTTTGCGAAATTTGCTTTAGAAAACGCCAGAAATTCAGTCCTAGAGCTTCAAAAATGTAAAAATTTTCTGGGGGAGGACCCCCAGACCCCCCTTTTTTCCCAAAACTTAGTATGAGATTGCCAATACGTATAATCCTCTGACCCCCCCCCCCACCCCAAACTTGCTTTGCTACGTCCCTGATGGTTGTATTCGAAACCGATTTCAGTTTTAAGATATCCTTAGTCTGCTCTTCTAAATGGATACATGAAATCACCTATAGCTTATTTTAAATTTTTTGGCGCCAGGTTTGTGAAGTAACTTACGCGCCAAAAAGTAGCAGTTCCAAAAACAAAAAAGCGTATACGATTTGCAAGAATGATGTGTTCTATGTTTATGGGATATTTCGTACAAACGGGATGGAAATTAAAGAAATTGAAGCATAATGTCACTTTTGCATGCATTTTTGACAGGCATACAAAGACATTTGCAACAGATGCCGGGAGACACTTGGGTGGGGGCGACATACTGTAAGGTTCCAGCACATTACCCTGATCCAGGAAATCCTGGCCACTACATGAACGTGTTCAAGACTCCGAATACGCTGAATGATGGACAACAACAACCTGTTGATAATTTCACCCCTAGAGCCAATTTAAAATGTTTTAAAGACGGTGCCATTTCATCTGGTGCTAGTGAGGTTAAAGAAGCAGCAGATCAGTAGTTTTGTTGAGGAGAAGCACATGCTTGAGTATATCAGACATCTGGAGGAACTGCAAATTGTATCTATGATAAGAGAGAATTCCGGATTGTACTCCTTCGATTCCGAATTCTAGAGGAGGGGGGGGGGGGCGCATTGAAAATTTTAAAAACTTGGAGGGGGGGGCATCGAAATTTACCGAGAACCTCAACAGGGGCCCTGTAAAAATATGAGCTTTTTTCAAGACATCTTCATCCCCCCCCCCCTCGGTGTAATAAATGTACTTTCCCTTAGTAGCCTAAAACGATTATTTTGTAAGACTGTCGAACGAATTACAATGAAGTTTAAAAATGCGGCTTAGAGGCAGTTCCGTCATAAGAAATTTGAAGAGAGTGTTCACAATTCCCCAAATCTGACTTTCGCTAACTCCAGTCTCCAGACAGAAGATATATGTCAGTAGGCTAAGATGTTCTGGCTTGGTCATGGCTTGTTTTCACTATCAAAACAACGATTTAAGCTTAAGCTTAGCTAAGTTCAGGACAAAGTCTCATAGCGTAAACTCAGCTTCACAAATCAATGCGTACTCACCTCCTTTAAGCCCACTGTTGTCTCCCGTAGGACCAGTTCTAGAAGATTTTGTTCCTCCTGAGTGCCGATACCACAATTTATTCACATTACCCCATATACACCATCCATTTTCAAAATTGCAATTGTCTTTACCAAGGTTAGAACAAGGCAAACAACAACATAAGTGGGTCTTATTTACCATTGCATAATGCATTAATTTAAGGAACCTACTGGGGAAATCAATGACATGTTGTGAACAAGAAAAGAACGGAGTTTATAAGATGTGTATTTCTTAGTTTTACAATTGAAAAATTCCCTCAAAATATCACTTTTATTTACCAAATGATTAATTTTCCAATTTTCTCCATCAATTGTGCAATTTTTTCCATCAATTTTTGAAGTTTCCAGACGGTTTTTGGCTCTCAAAAAGGTTTTGAAAGTTGGAGAATCTTGCAAAAATACAATATATTTGCAAGAAATATTTGTTATTTCGCTGTTGTCATTTGTCATACAACAGTAAATTTTAAATTCGACCAATCAGTGTTTGCTATTCATCACAGTCAGCCACATATTTTGAGATCATTGAGGATGACAACTCATCCCCTTGTGAGCCCCTTTTTCCTCCCGATATGCTTGATACATACAAACGCCGAAAAAATTTTCTTTTCATGTAGCTAGCTATATTTGAAATTAAGGCCACGGGCTATTTAAAAAAAAAAATACAGATGAAAGTCTTTTACATATTTTCAAATTTTTGTCAAATTTTGATAGCTTCTGTTTTGAAATTAGACCGCTGAAGTTACAGTAAGAAACATAGGATGGAAAATTTGAAGCATATAAAAGTAATTTTAACTTATATTTCATTCTCATATCACGTTTTTCTTTGTTTATCACGGCTTTTGGAGAGTCATAGCTCGACGTATACGGTATTTACTCCCATGTTCACGTCGCCATATTCACTTCTTCCAATCACTCGATTACAAAAATAAATCATCCCAAAACAAGGAATTCATGATCGAAGAATAACCGTTAGTTTGTGCTGAAATCGATTGAATGGAAAGCAAAAAATCGCCAGCTAAAACAGTTTCTTGCTAACTTTCTGCTATGCTTTGTTTTGTTTTGTTTTGAATGTAAATCACTGACGTGAATGCAATGGTTTCTGTTTCTGCTCGCGATTTTTTGGACAGTGACGACAAATTTCCCTCTTGTTGTCATGTATCTTAAAAATTTAGTTGGAAATACTTACCCTGAATGATAAAAAAATAATGAAAAAATAATAAAAAAAAAGAAATACTATAAACAAGAATACTTACCCGTTATACTTGGAATTGTTGTAGTACTTATCGAAGGTACACAACTCTGGTTTTTAAAAGTAATATCATCCAATGCTATATCACTTCTATAACTATAACCTCTGGTAGCAACGAAGAGTATCTAAAGAACAAAAAAATTTGTCCATTTTTCTATAGCTAATTACGACTACAATTTTATTGGTAATTCTTCAAAAATTTTCTTCTCCTTCGAAACACATTAGCTAGAAATCTAGTTGATATTAAGAACAGATAGAAATTGTTGAGTTACCAACTGAAATCGATATAAGTAATATGCCTGTGGGGTAAGTTTAATATATATATAAGGAGAAATGAAAACATTTCATCAAATTTCTACAAATTCGGTGTAGAACATAAGCCTTAATAAGCTTAGTATTTTGAAATGTGTGCATGTTGTTCAAGAAGACCGGTCTCAAGTTCACGACTATAATTGATAGAATTTGCCTTCCAATTATTTAACGTTCACCATTCTAACGTATTTATTCAAATTTAGTGAAACCCAAAAGAGGATGCTTTAAACAAGTGAGATAGCTTTGGTTCTCTGCGAACTGTGGAATATTATAAGCCCACTTTCCACTAGGCCAGTGAATTTATTCACGCGAACAGCAAAACCGTAGGAACTGATCAAACTCTTTCGCCAGGAATTTTTTCGCTGACTAATCACATTGCCAAGATATCTGTTTGCTACATTTCCCGCGAAAAATTATCCTAGTGGAAAACAGACTTTAGATATGCATGATAACACCCATGCACTGTTTTGGTCGCAAACTAAACCAAAGTAACGAGCAAAATCAAATGTAAATTTGGCATAATCTTTTCATGCAATAGTTTATAGCATTCCTCTATCTATTTTGACTTTTGATACTGCTTCACTTTTATCTGTTAAATAATTTCAAAAACAAAGAGAATTGTTCCGGCAGTGATAACATAAAAAAGGGCAATAAGGGTCATGAAACAAGTTCCAATCTCATTTTCGCAGCTGAAATTCTGCCTGTAACCAGTCACACGACCACCATGCACATATACATTCTCAATCTGATTCCCTGCGGATGATTATGCAAACCCGTTTTATGTTCTTGATTGCACATTTTAACAGAGAAAGACTACGCAAATCGAAGTACCCATTTTACCCTTCTATTTAATGTATGGTGAAGAAATAAAATTTTCAATGTGTTTCTATAAATGTGATGAACAAACTGAGCAATGAAAGAAACTCACAGGAAGATGCTCATTTTGGCTAAGTTTTTTATCAATACAGATTTCGAAGATTGAATGAAAGTTTACATGCATTGTTTCGCCCGCTGCTGTTAAGATCGCAAATTGAATTTATTCCTGCTTTGCATTCACTCTATAAACGAAAGTATATCGAGCAAAAACAATTCTAACTTTGGGATGATTTCTGCCGTAGTGTAGCTTTTTCATTTAATTATTTATCACTTTTAACACTTCTTTGATTCTTGTCCGCTGAATAATTTCAAAAACGTAGCGAATTCTTCTGCCAACGAAATCATGAAGACAGCGGAAAAAGAAGATTGTGGTCCGAATTACAATTCCACATTCTCAGGTTAACTTCTGGCTGAGACCAGGTCACATTCCAAATTTTATTCCCTGGAGAAGATTTGTGCAAATCCGGCTTCGTGATGTTTGGTTATACAGCACTAACAGAGTAGGAAGATACCATTTTATCTTTCCACGACACCAACTCGAAACACAACTCTCCCCCCCCAAAAAAAAAAAAAAGCTCTGTCATTACCTTGAAAGGAGAATTGCTGGAAATAGTGATTCTAGAATTTTGCCATGATATTCCTTGGTTTCCAATCTTCTCCCAAACTTTTCTTCTTTTATTCTGCGACTGCAGCTTGTTTATGTCTTGTATATAAGCTGTCAACTTTCCCATTGTATCTCCGTACATCGAGAAGTAGAACGACATACATGTTGCCCGAGTTGGACCAAAGATCTTGCTTTCCACAATGCCTTGTTTTCCAGGTCTGACAGGCCATGAACTTTCAAAGTAGATATAGTGACCTAGAGAAAACACATTACGCATTTCAGATCTTACTAAAGATGTTTTAGGTCATAACCTGATGATTGACTTACAGATATACGCCTAAATATCAGGGTGAGAAGAATGAAATTGACCGACTTATTAATGTTGCCTCTTTCATAGCTGTGAAATAAATTCTAAGCAAACAAAAAAGATCCACTACTCTTTGGGGATGTGATTGTTATCGAGTTGCTATATAATGCTAATTATTATACACCTAAATATCAGGGTGAGAAGAATGAAATTGACCGACTTATTAATGTTGCCTCTTTCATAGCTTTGAGATAAATTCTAAGCAAACAAAAAAGATCAACTACTCTTTGGGGATGTGATTGTTATCGAGTTGCTATATAATGCTAATTGTATTTATTTAAAAACAAAATTTGAATAATCCATACCACGTTATGTCTTTCTTAAATTATAGTTAGTCAAAACTTTAATTTTTAATAGCAATTAAAAGGTACCAGAGTTATATGAATAATTGGGAGGACAACGTTGCGTGGACAAAAAGGTACGCTTGAGAAAAAAACAAGACATACGATTGCAATTGCGGAAAGACCAGGGCTGTCAGAACCACAAGTTCAGCGGCTGCAAGTGCACCATTTACCTATTCTAATCGTAACTTTTTGGTTGCAATGCTGCGCAAACGATGGATACAACGAAGTCTCCAACTGCAATGCAATCAAAAGGTTGTGATTACGAAAGGCAAATTGCGCAGCTTGAGTCGCTGCACGCGTCGTGCTTCCGCGTGCCCTGGAACAAGGAGTGACAAAGGAACATGAGGCCGTACTATATCCACGATACGGTGGCCCATACGGGCCAACCCTTCTCCGTAGAAACTTGCATCTTCTCCGTACAAATGTGTTGTTATTCCATGGAAATCAAACTTCTCCGTGGAATATTGCCGTTGTTCTGTCACGGAAAGCCTTTTCTCCGTAGAAATATACAGTTTCTCCGTGGAAACACGCACCTTCTCCGTGGAAACCATAGATATCTATGGTGGAAACAAGCAGCTTTTCTGTGGAAACACCGCAGCTTCTCCGCGGAAACGCGTAGCATTTATGTGAAACACGATGCGGTGGCATGAACGGGGCACCTCTTCTCCGCAGAAACATGTAGCTTCTCCGTAGAAACATGTGCCTTCTCCGTGGATGAGCACTTTCCTTGTGAATTAAAAAAGGCACGCCCCCCTGAATATTTATCGGTTTTATACGACGGGGGGGGGGGGAGGAAGACAAAATAAAGTCACAAATCAACATCGAGGTCAAAATATTACAAGCCAATTTTATAAATATGAATGCTTTAATATGGGTACAGATATCCAGCATATAAATTGTGAGAATTGCAAGGCAGAGATTTTGATCGTTTATAGCTTTTGTAACAATCGTAGAAATAGATACGTACTATAAAGTTTTACTTTTTTATATTTATGTTATCATTTTTATTTGTGGATTTATATTTTTATAAATTAAATATTTAAATATACACCGTATTAATCTGTCAGTCAGTCTCGTATGCGGATCCGCTCGTATATTCAATTTTATGTAAAAATATAAATCTACAAATAAAAATGATAACTAAATATAAAAAAGTAAACTTTATAGTACGTATCTATTTCCACGATTGTTATAAAAGCTATAAACGATCAAAATCTCTGCCTGGCAATTCTCACAATTTATATGCTGGATATCTGTGCCCATATTAAAGCATTCATATTTATAAAATTGGCTTGTAATGTTTTGACCACGATGTTGACTTGTGACTTTATTTTCTCTCCCCCCCCCCCTTTCCCGTCGTATAAAACCAATAAATATTCAGGGGGGCGTGCCTTTTTTAATTCACAAGGTAAGTGCTCATCCACGGAGAAGGCACGTGTTTCTATACGGAGAAGCTGCATGTTTCTGCGGAGAAGAGGTGCCCCGTTTGGGCCAACGCATCGTGCTTCACATAAATGCTACGCGTTTCCGCGGAGAAGCTGCGGTGTTTCCACAGAAAAGCTGCTTGTTTCCACGGAGAAGATGCGTGTTTCCACGGAGAAACTGCATATTTCTAGGGAGAAAAGACTTCCCGTGACAGAACAACGGCAATATTCCACGGAGAAGTTTGATTTCCACGGAATAACAACACATTTGTACGGAGAAGATGCAAGTTTCAACGGAGAAGGGTTGGCCCGTATTGGCCACCGTACCACGATGTATTAACTATTAAGCCGTGTTAAGACTGCGATTCTTGTCCTATTTAAAGCTGAACTCAAGCAAGACCACGGGAAATGAGATACATTAACACACTTTACATTTCAGTGTCTAAGTCAATCCGCCTACAACTTCATTCTCGGCTTTAAAAGAGTTACGAAATAAGTCTTTTTCACCAAAAAAATTAAAAAGATTCATTGTTGTTGTGATTAGATTTTCTCATCGAACCGTTTTATACACCTGACCTGATGATGGAGTTGCACTCCAGGACATTGTAATTAGTAAAACGATTATCTTGTGCGGCTGTCGTCGGAATTACTTCAACAATGAAGTTTAAAAATGCGGCTTAGAGACAGTCGCGTCTTAAGAAATATAAAGAGAGTGTTCACGTCTCTCCAAATCTGACTTTCGCTAACTGCAGTCTCCAGACAGAATATATAATTCAGTGAGCTAAGATGTTCTGGCTTGGTCATGGTTTGTTTTCGCTATCAAAATAACGATTTAAGCTTAAGCTTAGCTACAGTAAGTTCACGACAGACACAGTCTCATAGCGTAAACTGAGCTTCATAAATCATTCCGTGAACACTTACCTCCTTTAAGGCCACTGTTATCTCCCGTAGGACCAGTTCTTGAAGATTTTGTTCCTCCTGACTGCCGATACCACAATTTATTAACATTACGCCATATACACCATCCATTTTCAAAATTGCAATTGTCTTGACCTAGGTCAGGACAAGGCAAACAACAACATAAGTGGGTCTTATTTACCATTGCATAATGCATTATACTGTCAGGTACAAATAAAGGCAATGGAAGATATCCAGAGCGGCGTGATTGGCACAAACCTACTGGAGAGATCAATGACATGTTGTGAACAAGAAAAGAGCGGAGTTTATAAGATGTGTATTTTTCCATTGCAATAGTTTGGTTGATGGAAACACCACGTTTATGGTATTTATCAATATTTGTTACACAATTATTGGATAAAGCTAAATATTATGTCAAGTATTTGTCGGACCAAGGTCAATTCAAAGCATGATGTGGACAAAATACACTATGTTCTGAAAATTTTTTGATATCAATGATTTACTTTATATACTTTAAAAACACTGTAAATACTTAAAAAAACGTTATTAACCACTGTAAATAGCATGTGTTTTTTTTCATAATAAAGGCCAACGGAGGCCATAACAGAGGAATCAACACAAAGTGTTGGCCGAAGTTTCAAGAACTTGAAAATATCTATTGGAAAGTTTGACAGGCGGGTTTGGAATCTGAAAAGAAAACCTTAGATCTGAAGGCGTTTTACACTGTATGCAATTACAGTAGACTCAAGACACGCAGCTTGGCTTCAATGTGATTCACAAACCTTTGCGAGCCTTTCGTGCCGTTAATCCAGTTTCTGGTCAATTTTTTTTTAATTGTACCGCTTCATGTGAGAACTTTCGTTGTGCATGTATGTTAACACGCAAGGGTGTCGTAATGGTCCATATATTACTGTTGAGGTGTTGAGGTGATATTCTACTATTAAAAACAAATACCTATACCACACTTCTGATGAAGGCACGTTTTGTCCTGTTTTCTAACGCCAGTACATTTTTTCCCGCCATTGCTTGAAGGCGGGTCTTCACATTTTCGTGTCCGCTGTTTCTTTCCAGAACCGCATGATGAACTACACGCTGACCATGATGACCAACGGCCCCAATGACCATCCACTGGTGCTAAAAAATAAAAGCAAATATAGTTGTCAAGAAATTATTGTTAGTTTGTTTGATGAATATTTTTTGGTAATATTTTTGGCACGTTTCTCATTTATAAGTTGCACGGTGTATTAGTTATTATTGAAAAAGAAGCGGATGATTGTACATTCCTACTGAGCGGAAAGGAGAAGTTTATCGCAAGAACCCTTAATTTGGGCACCCACTTCTCTTAGACTTTAGGCATGTAGAATTTTCTGAAGATATCTTGCGTGGGGTTGGGTTATTGTTGGAGCATTGGCGTAACGTCGGCTCAGTTTGGCAGTTTTCGGGCGCAGTATATGGAACTTTAAAACCAGTAGTATTGATAATAAATCAGTAAATCAAACTAAATTACGAAGTTTTCCCCCCGTTTTTAAGCCTCTAAGGAAATTTTTTGAGCTTCGAAGGATTGAAGGATTGATTTTTTTTTAAATAGTACTGCCAAAATAATCAGTAAACAGCCTTGACGGATGTTGGCGGCAATTTCTTTGGCGCACCCCCAGCGTGAGAATAACATGGAATCCATTCTTGTTTAGGTTTCAGATAAACTTACAGTATTCTATCCTGGTCATCTTGGATTCGGCACCCATGAGAACTTAGTGTAAAAGCAGATCCGGTGTTACAGGAGATTCTCCCCCTCTCAAAAGGCGGAAAATATCCTAGGAATATTGCCCCCAGGCGGGGGGGAGGGGGTGGGGTCGAATGCGTCAGGAATATACCCACATTAGGATATACGCCCCTATAAATGCGATGTGGTTTATTCAAATAATTACGTGATACTTTCATCCTATTAGTGCCTCACACGTTTGAGAATAACAGGCTGCAACACTAAAGCTTTTTTGTTTTTTCTTTAAGATTATTATTCGAGTATTGGAAGTTTTACTATTTAGATTTTACAAACTAATATTGAAATAATGCAAGTATTTTAAAAACAGTTTCATATATACGCGCATTGAATAATGAGCGATGACAATTTATAAACCATACTTTTTTCCATAACGACAAAACGTGGTTGCTAAAAATTTTTAACAATACTTTAATAATTTTTTTTATTATACGGCAAGTACTTGTTTTGACGAATCGTGCAATTTGATTGGCTGCTGACGAGGCAGGATTTTCCCGTATTGCCCACGGGCAATACGCAACTTTTTTCCCAGCGACGAGAGCCGAGTTTCAAACAGCAAAAAGTGTCTAAACATCTTTCAAAACTATTCAAAACGAAGAAGAATAAACCTAAGCTAATGGAGCAACTGCTGTGGTTAAAGAACTTTCTCCATACGTTTTTGTTAGCGAAAGTCAAAATTACAACGGAAGTTTTACAATGTTTATAACTATAAAAGCAGTCAGGAATAGTTGTGTTTTGACAATGCGAAGAGCTGCAAATTTTATTTGCAGATAGCCAGGAGGACTTTGACATCATCCTAAATAGAAAAAACAACTAAAACAGCCACAGATTTATAATATTTCCCTCAAAATTTCTGTTTTTCGTAGATAAAAAGAGACATAAATATGAGATAAAGCAAACTAAAACCGTACTTGTTTTTGTAATTTTATTGAATTTTATTGTTTTCATATTTGTTGTCTTTGGTTAAATAAAGAAAAAACTCTTATTTTTCTTCAAACACTATCCAAAATGCAGGGTTATTTATGGATAATTTGGGTAAAATTGGCAAGAGACTTATGGATAATTGGGGAGATTCTATTTTGTGGCTATCAACGACGATCGGAAATCCGACATCCACCACGCGTGCCGAAACCTATACTCAATCAATCAATCAATCAATCAATCAACTTTATTTAACGAGGGTAAACACTGAACAGTATATCAACTGACTAACAAGTGGCCCTCTACTCACCATGGCACAGTGCCCCAGCGAGTAATAATAATGTTCTTCAGTGTTTACAGCATAACCGTAGGATAATAACAATTGTCAACACGCTGAGGCGAAGGCAACCAAGTTCAAATTTGGGAAATGTGCTACTAGCTACTGCTAATAAACTAAACTACCAGATAATACTACCAGATAAAATCCTCTAGAATAAACATGGGTGGGTGGGGAAATGATATCGAAGCGCTAAACTTGCTGCAGCTAGGCAAAGCATACAATGGCAGAATGAATACCCAGACCGAAGCACTGATTACAAGGCGCAAAACAACCCCCTGTACGTGAGCAATATCATCACAGACTCCCCCCAGCGAATGTGGCCTGCATAATATATACGACGTTAACCTTTGCTTAAATGTATTTAACCACATCAAGATAGCTGATGTAATAATAAATTGTCAAATTATCTCTGCAATCAGTAAAGACTGATTTGCACACAACACACAGAAGACAAGATAAATCCAGACTATTTCACATCATTGACCATGATTTAGTCGCAACATTTACAACCAATTGCAAATGGATACCACGCTTATTAAGCAAATTCCGTCAAATTTTATTGCAACCACTCCCTCTCATTTCCTTGAAAAAATTTAATAGCCCCCCTTTTTAGTCATTTATTTATGCATATGCGCCCCCCCCCCCCTCCCCCTTATCATAGGACACCGGTCAGCTTAGAATTAAGATATAAGACGATGAACAATTTGGAAACATAGGAAGAAAGCGAGAAAAATTGTGAAAGGAAATAATGCAGGGTGAACAGTAAATGCACGTAGAAAAGACGATGCCGAAAAATAGAGTGTATGAGCGTTTACTTAACGTATATTAACGTATCAATCCGAATATTATATATTATCGTATATTACACCCGTTTTCAAAATTACGCGACCAAGGACGAAAATGTTAGAGTTGACATATCAGTTTTATGTGATTCGGTCACGAAGTTTAAACTTCGAGTTTTGCGGTTCCTTGTCGATGTATATGCTTTGTATGCTTTATATAAACATGCTTACAATGATTTTCAAGATATTTTAGTGAGAATTATTGCAAAATTTAAGCACAAACAAAATCATAACATGTCGTTGTAGTCTAGCGCGCGTGTTTTATACGGACAGCTAAATTCCAGGATAAATTGTTTTTTCAAACTTTAAAAGCTATTCACGGCACATATTTCTGATGTGATTGTTTGTATAGTGCTTTAGTTTGTATATCTAAGTTATCTAGCTCATTTTTGTTCAGTTTTGGTATTAAATACGATTTAAAATGCCTTTAGCCAGTTTGTTTACGTTTGCTGTTTTTAGCAGTTTTTGTGACATAAAACTGACATTTGAAGTAAGAGTATTTTTCAGGGAGGTCGCGTAATTTTGAAAATGGGTGTAACGTATCCACCAGATTTTACGTTAGAAAAAGTTTATATTCTCCAATCTGTTTATTGAGAAATATATCCCTCAATCTTACCATGACATTCTTTATTAGAACATTTTACATGCTTCGTCTCAATCCCAAATTTATCAGCTTTTGGGCAATCTTTAGCTCGGTCTGATGAAGAACAAAACCGCTGACGGAATTTATAGCATGAAGATAGACATGGACTGAACTCAGACCACCGACTCCAAACACCAGATCCGGAATCTATATAAAAATATTAGAATATCAAAATAAGCGCACCACGCATATATATTATTGCTCCATAAAACATTTCGTAACATTTCGTATATGCATGACGGAAGCAATTCAAGAACAGACTTTTCTTTTCAATTGGAAGTTCCGTGGGACATTTTTTCATATATTTCTTGTCGCATTTCATATTGCAGAGCCCGGTCATGCATTCGCACATTCAACCTAATGTTTAATCATTCCAGTCTAGCGTCTCCATTAAAGGTGATATAAAGTCGCACAGCAGTTTTTATCATCCCTCGACGTTATGTTTTGAGTATAGAATTGTAAGGGAAATAAATTCTTTTTAGATCGATCGTTCCTGAATGATGAAGGCACTGAATTTTCAATTCATGAATGCCATTTTCATTCAACTGGATTTGCGTTTATTTAATTAAAACATGAGCACCCAACGTATAAATATCAAATATGTCTTATCGGCAAAGCTTTCATTAGTTCGAAGAACAGAAAATTTTAATTAATGAAAACAGATCTTTAAGTTTTTACGATATAACTATATAAACTGCTTTCCACAAAACAAATTTTAGTGAATATAGGAGACTCGTTTTTCTATCTAGGAAATTGCGCAAAAATATCTTATGACCTACCGAAACGCTTGGTGTTTTCATTTAATTTTTCATTAATCTTACCTGTACAATCGTACAGTGCATCAATTTTGATGACATCAATGTCACTTAACCTCAATCTCTGTCCCAGTGTACGTTCGGGGTTTTTTATAGCGAGTATGGTGGCTTGACCTAAAAAATAAACGACATTAAGAATTTGGCCACTAATTTCTATATATAAGAATTTGATAAGATTTTGTACTGTACTCTAAAAACTTTATAACGAAATTCAGGAATTGGTTGTATAAAAATATTATTTTTTAACTACCATGCTTATATCACTACTAAATTATTCGAAATATATGTTTCAGTTTGAAAAAGCCAGCGTGATATCTGCCTTTGTCGAAACGAGCTGAAAACTAATCATAAACATTATATAGACTTGTCAAACAAAGCTATCCCTTCAAAAAAAATACCTGTAGAAGACCGTTCCCTTGAAATGTCAAATTGATTCATCAACTAAAGTGATTAACTTGAATCTTTTTTCAAGTACTTTTTCACGGAAGCGTGCATTTGCACCCATGTTTGAAAAAGTTTTTTAGAGAATTTAGGCACAAAAAGCTATTAGTTCACTCTTCATGCAGACAGATCCATGATCGCTTATTCCTGAATATTATCAAAACATGACACTTTAATATTTTAAATGAAGGCCATGCCGCCAATTTCCAGAATTTATTTAATTTCACTCCTAAATTTTATGGAAACAAATGCGGATTCAAAATAACCCCACTTGAGTTAACTCTCAAAAATTAAGTGTACTAGAAAAGGCATATAATGACAGTTGACCTACCATTTTCGGAAAAGGATTTATTCCTATAGTGCATCACACTTTCGAAATCATAATTTGTCCCAAGGATATCTACGAGGCCATGGCTGTATTTCTTAAAATTACGATCTTTACCTGATAACAATACGGACAATTAAAACATCAAATATGTTCACAATTTTAAATATATACATCCTATAAACATAGAAATGCTGAAATTTTGCATGGCTCCTGAATTCAATTCAACTGAATTCACAAATACTATTACACTTATACCTTTCTTTATATTTTCCCAGAATATTTCAACATATTCATCTCTATCAGGTCTTGATTGCTCGTGCCAAAATCCTAACGCATGCATCAACTCGTGTATCACAATTCCAGCATAGTTGCAACCCGGACCTAGAGACACTTCTTGAGCTCCTTCTCGATAACGTTTTCCAACCTGAGACGAGCAACTGTTAAGAATATCCACAAAACACATTATTTATTTATTTATTTATTTATTATTATTTTTTTATTTATTATTAATTGTGTTATTGTACACTCTGTAATAAGTTAAGATGAAAATGTTCTAGAGTGTGTATTATATAATTTCCATACCCGGCGCAAACAGAAAGATGTTGTCTGCCGCGGCTGGGTCTTGAACCCGCGACCTTCGAATTACTAGATCGACGCTCTACCAACTGAGCTACACAGTCAGACGGATTTAAGACTGGAAATTATGAAATATATACTGAATGTCATAAACATACTCGTTTATATTAATTCCGCATCGAACAATACTAGTTCTGCAAGTGTTATGTTAATTGTGTTATTGTACACTCTGTAATATGTTAAATATGTATGGAAATTATATAATACACACTCTAAAACATTTTCATCTTAACATATTACAGAGTGTACAATTACACAACTAACATAACACTTGCAGAACTAGTATTGTTCGATGCTGAATTAATATAAACGGGTATGTTTATGACATTCAGTATATATTTCATAATATGCAGTCTTAAATCCGTCTGACCGTGTAGCTCAGTTGGTAGAGCGTCGATCTAGTAATTCGAAGGTCGCGGGTTCAAGACCCAGCCGCGGCAGACAACATCTTTCTGCTTGCGCTGCAGGGTATGGAAATTATATAATACACACTATAGAACATTTTCATCTTAATATATATATATATATATATATATATATATATATATATATATATATATATATATATATATATATATATATATATATATATATATCGCTCTATGGCCTTTAGGTCATATTGAGCGCTCTACAGGATGAGCCATGCCGCTTACGCATTGCGCACGCTCACTGCTTGCAGTTTGAGCGCTCTGGCATGGTTTTGATGTCCCACAATCGTGAGGCATCAAAGGTAACTGTAAATAGCAGTTACTTTCATCCTGCTCATCAGCACTACACTGATGAGGCCCATAAGGCTGAAACGGTACCGTCTGTAGTTAGATATCGCTCTATGGCCTTTAGGTCATATTGAGCGCTCTACATGATTTAGCCCGCGCACGCTCACTGCACGGGCTTTAGGACAAATTCAATTCGACAACAATAGTATTCTATCTAAATAGTAGTTAAAATAAAGCGTACGGCACCTGAACTGTTCAATATCTTGCTTCTATATCCATAAAACATTTACATATATGCAAATACTGTATATTTTCGAAATCCGCCAAATTTTTTACATTAAGAACCCAAGCTTTAGCGGTTAACACGAAATTTTAACGTCGGTGATTTTCAATAATAATAAGAGGGTAGGATCATCCAATTATTTAATCGTTCGAAGCGCGAGGAAACCATGCTTCCATATATGGCACAAACGTGTCCCCAACTTTCTTATATGGCACCAACGTGTCCCCAAAATATTTTATCGAAGCCGTTATGATGTCATAAGATTCCTCCCGCTCGGAACGATTTGAACAGGTGACGTGTTACAGAACCCTGACAGCTGATTGGGTTAGCGGGTGACGACGCCCACTTTAATCCTACCCTCCAATTATTAGTGAAAATTACCGACGTTAATATTTCTTGTGAACCGCGAAAGCTTGGGTTCTAATGTAAATAAATATGGCGGATTTTGAAAATATACAGTATTTGCATATGTAAATGTTTTATGGATATAAAAGCAAGATGTTGAACAGTTCAGGTACCGTACGCTTTATTTTAACTGCTATTTAGATAGAATACTATTGTTGTCGAATTGAATTTGTACTAAAGCCCGTGCTCACTGCTTGCAGTTTGAGCGCTCAGGCATGGTTTTGATTTCCCACAATCGTGAGGCATCAAAGGTAACTGTAAATAGCAGTTACTTTCATTCTGCTCATCAGCACAACACTGATGAGCCCCATAAGGCCGAAACAGTACCGTCTATATATATATATATATACATACATACATGACTTCGAGTCGTATATGAGCTGATAGCCGACGAGGTGCGTAGCACCGAGTCGGCTATCAGCCATATACGACGAGAGCGAATGGTATGACTTTTTTATAATATAGCATAATAGCTATTAACTGAAGCAATAATTATTTATCCCCGAGCCGACGGCGCGAAGCTCCGTGCGAGGGTACTAATTCCCCCCGGCTATTTACACACGAGGAAACGAAAGCATTAGCCAAGTCTAACGTTCATCAATGAGCGCGGGCGTGTGTTACCGTGAGTGGATCCTGTGGGTGGTGGGTGGTCATCCTCACTGATCTCAAAAATATGGCGGACTGTTATGAAGAGCGGACACTGATTGGTCCAATTTAAAGTTTAAATTGTAACGACTGCATGACGACAGCGAAATAGCAAACATTTCTTGATTTGATGATTGATAAATTTCTTGCAAATATATTTCATTTTTGCTCGCCTTTTTGAAATATTTTGTAAATTTCAAAAGGTTTCTCAGAGGGAAAGGGCGAAAGAATCGGCTAGAAGAAGGGAGCCGACGTTAACGAAGGTAAGTTTGTATTAATTATTGATTTTATAATTGCTTTAAAACCCGACGGCCTTTGGCCCCGGCTTTGCGTATATGAACAACTAAAGAAGACAGCATATATTTTCAGTGTATTATTAATATTGATTCCCCATATTTTATTATATTGAATTTTTAAATAAAAAAGAAAGTAAAGTTATTTGCATGCGAGAATTTAAAATCATTTTATTGCAAACTCAAAGTTTATCTATAAAAGCCATTTAATAGGTGGTCTTATACCTTGGAAACATTTTTTTTATCTTTTGGAGTATTACACTATATTTAGGTTTCAAGTTGTTAAGGATAAGTCGCTGATACTGAATCAGTCACTTATACATGTCTTGTTGCCATGGTTACCATGTAACGCCATTTTATTGCGCGTTGCGCAAAAATGATTACATTAAAAGTAAAGTTGATAGAGATTTAAAAACACATTTTTTTGATTCCCAATGAATGGGTCTATGCTCTGAACCTAAAAAAAAATATTATCTAGGGGCATATGCCAATTTTTTTCAAGATTTAATGGAAATAGTCTAAAATCGGTATAATGGAAGGTAAACAATAGGGCTTTACATAGTGATTATTTTTTCAGGTATGAATATTTTTAGGTTCACAACATGGCTGCATTAGTAATGATATATTACTGAAAGTTTGAAACTGATGGGATATATATTAAAGTCAGGAGAGTTTTTGGCATCTCGCAAAAGGTCAATTTAAGAAAATTGAGCTTAAAGTTTTTTAAAAATTATTTGTCATTAACCACAGTGAATTGCCAATGAAAAAAAGGAATAGAACCTCTTAAAACGAACCAGCAGCATATGTTTCACCTTCTTTCTCCTTGTTCTTGTCTCCTAACTTTTTATTTTGACCTGTAAACAGTCGTCGCCGCATTCTAGTGGATTCTTTATCCTTATAGTTTGCTTTGCTTACCCGACGGCAATCTGCCCGAGATACTCCTATGTGACTAAGAACTCCTGGGTTCATTTCCAAAGCCTCTAAAACCTTAATAGTGGCCTCCCCACCAATATTGAAGTGAGCCACAGCATCATACACTCCCAATTTGAAAGAATTAGATCCAACAAAGACGGACTTCGGAATTCTTTGCCAAATCATTCCATTAAACGCCTCATTTTGGTTTTGAGTTTTCCCGTCAAGACACTTTCTCAGAAGGTCATCTTCACTTAAACGGGCATAAACAGGTTTTAATTCCTCAATGATTACCCGAGGCAATCCCTTCCCAGGTTTAAGGGTTTTAGTGTTCTTGGCTTTATTCCCTTGGTAACCACACCAGCTATCCTCACCTTTAGGACAATATGCACTATGATATAGTCGCTCGTCATTTGAAGCACAGTGAAAAAGCGTGGCAAGTATATTGCTCTTCATTGTGTTAAGGCTGCCTTTATTGCTTCTGATAGCAATGACATAATAGTTTTGCATCTTATCAATCATACTATCAGTTAATTTTCCTTTTCCACCCAATCCTTTCTTCTCCTTTTTTAGTTTACGTAATGCCGTCCCAAGCCGCTTCTGGACATGTCCGACACATTCCTTCTTTTCTACCACTACATCATACTCCTCCTTGTAGGTGTTCTCTATATCACTGAAACTTTTGCTATCCCCATCTCCAAATAATGTATCATACATGAGGTTGTGGGAACTTACATTTTAGATCAAAGTTTTCGCAATTTAAACAATTAATTATATTTGATTAGAAATTTCACACAGAATTCAAGATCGAAGCCAAAATCAAGACACCATTCCCTTGCATTTCGAGAGCATTTTCTTCATGTAATATATGTTGAGAGCTCCTATACACACAAGTCTACTGCGGGGAGAGTAGGTAAGCAAAATTATTCATAAATTTTGGTGAACTTAAACTGACCATTTGGGTGAATTTCAGGACAACAAAAGCGTTGCTAAGGCGGTTGCTAAGTGGCAATTAAAGGAACAGGTTCCTTTTTCTCGATATTTATCCACCTTCCACAACTCATAGAAGGGAAATAACGTTCTACAACGGTAGAGCAGACAACATAGATTCAAAATTTAGCTATTTTGAAAAAATGAATTTTTCCAAAAAATGAAGGTATAAGACCACCTTTTTATTAAAGGAAGTTTAGTTTTATCATAAAGAACACTTTAATTTAAAACGTTTTACGAAGCGTTTGTGGTTGAATTTTACCTTAAATTGAAGCTCATATTACGTATAATAACATACCTAACATATATATGTTGGGAAATTGATTTTCACTTGTAAGAATATTCTTAAAAAATTATCGTATTACCATGACAACAACTTTAGATACTTCATGTTCGGAAAATACAATGGTTTTGTTAGCAAGGCGAGGGTTTCTGCATGCATGTATTTTCTAGTCCTCTGTTACAATGTCTTGACAATTTGTTCGGCCAAAAACCGCTTGGACTTGAAAATTTGAAATACTTTTGTTTTACAACTCGAAGACGAAGTGAAATGGTTTAATACCGGTATATCTCACAGAAAAGT